AAATATATCTTCGGACGCACTCAATATACACATTTAGTTCGCTTTTGAGTCACACCCAAATTTTACGAATAAAATTATTCTGAAAATATATCTCTGGAAATATTCCAGAAACAAAAAAAAAAGTCTTTTCTGCTAGGTAATAAGTGTTTCTCTGTATCCATGAAACTATCGTTGTTAATAGCTCATGATAACTGAAAATATTTAAAGCACTAGTTCTACTAGCACAAAGTACAAGTTCTGTTGTTACTGCTGATCAAGTCACTGACCTCAAACATAATTTCCCTCATAATCCATTGCTAACTTAGCTATTGTTTGATTTATACTGACTGTTGTATTATTCATATGATTCATTTATGTTTTCATTGTATGTGGATGAAAGGTTAAGATTGATGGAAAATAGATTTTTTTCCAGCACGTGTGTATGTCCAAATGGCAACTCTTCCAGACTTGTTTTTCAAGAGAATGGTTATTCATGAGATACTAGTACAAAAACACTTCATTTTTGTTTCAGGAAATATATTTTCGGAGTTTTCCCAGAGATATATTTTTGAAATAATTTATTTATATAATTGGAGTCTGACTCAAAAACGAATGAAATGCGTGTATTGAGTGTGTCCGGAGATATATCTCCAAAAATTAGAAATAGTTTTAGAATTTCGCGAGGTGTCTAAGAAATATATATGGTACGTTAAAAAATTGTCTTTTACTTATTTGTTATGTTTTCTCATATGTTATTCAACAAATTCTAGACCGAGCTTTGATCACTTGAATATAAGCTGCAAACCTTTGTTCTTCATTTTTTTTATTTTGAAATGTACAAAAGCAACAAACATCACAGTATAAAATTGAAAAAAAAAATAGATAAAAACAAAAATGATAACGATAACAAGGTTAAAAGAATGATAAAAATTAGACTTATCAAACTCCTCTATGCTTAAATCATTGTTTGTCCTTAAACAACTTAATTAAATAGGAAGTATCGTGACAAAGCCATTTTCCGAAGAATTTAGACACATATATGCAAGTATAGAGACTAATTTAAAATTCATAAGAACGCTAACTCAGGTTTTAAGTTAAACTATTTTAAGGTTTTTTTATATTAAAGATTCTTACAAAAACATTTCTGTATATTCTTCCTCGAATACTAAGTTTTGACATAGACTTGACCGTAAACCTCTTGTTCATACTCTTTCTCTTTATAAAGAAGATAATGATTTTAAAAATTATTTTTATATATGTGTTCTGGACTAAGACGAGACTTGTCGCCCAGTCGGGCAGACTCAACCCAACACTACGTTGGGGAGGTCTAACAAGGCTCAATCCTCCCATGTCGGGCACGCCTCTCAGCAAGTCCCCTCAGTCGAGCAGGCCACTACTCGGTGCAACGAGAGCCCACACGTTTTTATCACGTTCTCCACATGCCCCCCACGCGGGGACACGTCATCAGACAACTACCCACTTTCGAAAGAGTTGGTCAGCTCACCTTCCGAAGATCTCGGGACAGTTGATCTACGACGAAGACCACATGCTAGTCTTCACTATGCCACGTAAGTCCTGACAGTTACTTGTCTTGGGCTTGGCAATCCGGTCCACTTCAATGTAACCGTTGGCCCTGCGTTGGGGACACATTATAAATACCTTATTTCACTAGAGGGCCAGGCATCTTATTAACTACACATTTTCTATGTACTTGCTCTCTCTCTAGTTCCGTTACTCACTTAAGCATCAGAGCATCTTGTAGGTACACTCTCTTTCTCCTCTATAACACCGGTGAAGGCGGCAACTCACGATGCGTGGCAGACTACTGATTCCTTTCTGATAAGGTACGACCAGTGGCGCTGTCTGCGAAAACCTTTTGCTTCCCCATTCTTTCTCATGTCCAAGCATAGAAGCCCAGAGCAAAAGCAACCTTCAACTTCCATTCTAATCATGGTCAGCCCACGCGACGAAAATTCTCCTGAAATCGCCTTTATCCTCTTCACCAATGGAGACGCCCATGAACCCAACGCGACTGTCCGTAACAAAGAAGGCGACTACAAAGATGGGCGCACCGCCTCTCCCTCCTCAGAAGACGCGGCCTTCAACGCTGCTCAGTGCTTCAACAGCGCCGCTGTCTACCAGCCCATCCCGGTGCTACCAAGCGTCGATCCTACCATGGTGGCCCTGTTCGCGAAGATCAACCATACTAACCTAATGATCTTCGGGCAGAACGAGTGAATAGGGATACTCGAGAGGGAACGACCATCATGTTCTCCCCCGCGGAGACATCGTCGCCCAATTTCCAACAGCCCCTCTCCTTCCCCGCGGGGGACACGTTCAGTTGGCGACTCTCGGAGCCCCTCTCCTCGACCGGCTGGGCATCACCCTCTTTTGGAGTGACCACAACTGTTGGCTTCCCAAAAGCGGGGCAGGTCGCCTCCCCGGAAGGAAAGATGTTCGCCAGTTCAAAAGAAGAACAAAGTCCAATAGGTGCCTCCAAACCAAGAGCCCGACCGAAGAGTCCTCCTCGACGGAACAAAAACAACCAGTGATCAGTCACCCCCTTACTGTCGCCTGTCAAGAGTGACGAAGACGTCCAACGATCACCATTATGTAGGGCCATCAGGGAGGCCCCACTACCCGTCGGGATGGAGAAACTCACGTCTTTGGTAACATACGATGGCTCGACCGACCTGGACGACCACATCGAAAGCATCGACGCGATGCTCGATTATCGAAACGTTCAGGGAGCCATCATGTGTAGGTTGTTCCCCACTACCCCGAGGAAGGGCGCCATGGCATGGTACAAACGCCTCGCGCCCGAATCCTTCACCTCCTGGGGCAAACTGAAGAGGCAGTTCTCTAGGAACTTCACGGCCTCCCGGTGTCATCCGAAGACAGAGGCAGTCGTGGAAGTCGTTATCCAAGGGAAGAACGAACCTCTTCGAGACTATATATAGAGGTTCAACCGAGAGGTCGTCCAGGTGTCCACCATGAACGACATGAAGAAATTTTTGATCCAGAGAGGCATAAGACCTCACTCCGACTTCGCCAAGGCCGTTGGGATTGAACGTCCCCGCACCTTGCATGTCCTTCTCCATAGAGCCCAATCATATATCGAGTATGAGGAGATAGGAACCGCGAACACCGCTAGGGACACGCGGGAACCAGGAGGGCTTCAGGGACGCCAAGCATGAGGAGGCCGCTCCTCCTCGACGAAGCGGGGAAAGAAGATGCGAAGACCTACCCCGCGAGAAAAAGGGACCCGCGGACCGGTTCACTGGGTACACGCTGCTCACAGCTCCCCACGAGCGCATCTTGTCTGAATGCATCAATTCAGAATTTCAGAGGAGCAGTGTCCGTTTTTCGAAATCGAAGCCCAACGTGGACAAATCCAAATACTGCCGATTCCACCGAAGTCATGGAGACATCACAGAGGATTGCATCCACCTCAAGGATGCAATCGAGATCTTAATTAAGGAAGGGCACCTAAAATAGTACACCCGGAGAGGTGAAACTCCCTGATCTGAGGCCCGCGAAGCCAAGAGGGTCAAGGAAGTGATGAAAGAGGATACTATCAAAGCCAACATACATGCAGTTACAGTCTTTGACCGTCATAGGCAAACTTTCAGTGTATAGGAAATAATGGACCATAACGAGGGGATGCCAAATTTATCCTATGCTGTCAGACTAAACAGATGTTGGTGTCACTGTGGCAAGTAGCAGGCCTTCCGTGTACTTTTCTCACATGTCATTACGACATGCGCACATGCTCGTCAGGATGCTTATAGCCATCTATCTGATGCTTACAAGGCCATTAATGTTATGAATGTCTACAACGAAGGCTTCACAATGCTACCAATGAAGTAATATTGGCCTCCATACCAAGGGGACATAGTTTGGCACAACGATGAGATGCGAAGAAAGAAAAAAAGGACGCCCAAACAACACGCGTATAAGAACAAAAATGCATACGACTGATAAAATGATAAGATTACGCAGTATATGTCGTCAGCCCGGGCACAATCGAAAAAATTGTCCCAATGTCGGAGCAACATCTGCATCATAATTTAGTTTATCCTTTCAATTGTTGTAACCTTATATTTTCATATATCTATGAGACTTTGTTACAACAATGTTAACAACAAACAACACATACAATAGATAACGGAACAGAAATATAAAACATTTATAACTGATTACAACAATCAAACTGATGTCACTCGGTCCAAACACCACTTCCCTCGCATCCTTGTCAGTCTTAACGCAAACCTAACCACGTATGCGATCAAGTCTCTCGATACCTCGAATTTTCCCCCCTTCACGAATGTCTCCTTCTAACCACCGATTCAGCTCCCTCTTAAGTTGATTAAAACTTTAAATGTTCCAAAACAGCATGTCCATCGAAGGCTTCTCTCTCGAATAGATGATTTTTCTGTAACGGCGACTATACATGTTATCAGTAATACAAAAATATGAGACGAACTGTGGAAGCAAATTATCAGAACACTTCTATTTATAGGAAAAATTCACTTTCAAAGTTGTCTCCAGTTGAATTGGCGACACACTTGTAACTTTTACACTGTGTCGCCAATTGGATTGACAACATCATGTGTTGTCTCCAATTCAACTGGCGATAACACATAACCTTTGTGAAAGGTCGTCAACTCATTTAGTGTTCGCATTCATTCAGTACCTCAGAGTGAGATACTTTAGAAAATAAATTAAAAAGCAGGGTATTTTGTAATTTAAAAAAAAAAAGAATTATTTAAGTAAAATTTTCATCGGATCCTTATAAAATAAAAAGAAATTTCTTAATTATCCCAACAATGTCATCAATCAAGAAAGATACATACAAACAATCTTATTTCTCAATTTTAAACTCTTTAAATTCATAACTAGATTTAGTTATTGTTACATAAGAATAATTTTAAAAACACATTTTTTTATAATCATCCTACCTATAAAAAAATTAAAAAGTAAATTAGGTTTATGAAATCTCTCTATCTATCTTCTCATCAATGTCTCTTTGTTCAAAAATTGCACCCCACTTCAATTCCACACCCCTCTCTCACCATCAGGTATTCATCCCCACTCATCATTTTCTTCTTCAATTTTCACTCTTTTCTTTCATTCCATCACAAATTTATCACATTTTTCATCTTTTGCTATCTGGACATGTCTCAAGTTTCTGTTACAACGCTTCAATGGCTTCTCCCAAAGAAAATGTGGCACCTTTTTCATGCACAATCACTTGCCTGAGATGAACAATAATCCCTATTTGTCTCTCACCTTCCATACAAGGCTTTGCTCAAGTAACACCAATGGCAATGTAAGTAAGTAATAGTAAAAAATATTTTTTTCTTGATTTTTGTTTTTTGTTTTTAGGGTTACATGTTTTTAGCCCTTTTGTTTTCTACTCTTTGTAATCAATTTAAATTATAGGTTTAATTATTATCTAAGTTCTTTAACTATTTTATATGGAGTTGGGTCCACTTGTTACTGCTGTACCAACATAACATCCTGTGACTTAGTTTATAAGCTAGTTTGAATTAAGTGCTTAATTGAGTTGTGGTCACGTAAAGACTTTCGCGATTTCGATAGGTGATAGTGATTGTGGTAGTCGCGGTTTGAATTAATCACAATTTGTTCTTTATCATTTGTCGTAGCTGTTTTCACCGGTTTTTTAAAACCTTGGTTGGGCCAATAGCACAAAGGTTTTACATATTAGAAAGGTTTGCCTTAGCACATTCAAGCTCAAGTTTCTAGGCTTAAGCCTTGTTTGGATAAACAGCTTAATTAATCGCTTATAGCATAAGCGCTTATCATATAAGTGCTTATGTGTAAGTCATTTCTACAACAAAAGATAAATAAAGTCAAACTGTTTTAATTTAACCTATAAGTTGTATTCATAAGCTATCATGGAGAGCTTATGGAAATAAGCTGAAAACAACTCATGGAAATAAGCATAGTTGGTTTTTATATTTTCTCTGACGGTAATTTCAGCGTATACTTGAATTCGTGATTGTCTATCTTTTTTCCTTTTGTATGTTCATATTTTTACTAATTGAATTATTGTCTTATTTCTCTTTGGTGTAAGGTCAGACGTACGAGCTATCGGATTCAAGCAGCCATGAAGGTACGTGCATAGAAATTGAACTGTTAAATTATACTGATAACGGAAATAATAATCGTGAAGTTCGTTACATTGAAGTTATACGCATCACACTTGACAATTGCAAGATATTTTTAGGTTCAGAAGAAAGCAAAGAGAGTAAGAAAGGAGAGTCGCTATCAATCAATGAGTACGCAAAACTTGCCGTATATTATATTTCCGTTATTTTCTATAAAATATTTGTTTTATTCGACGACGATGTTTGTATATTTATGCATTTCTATTATTTGTTCAACATGTCAGGATCATGAAGAAACTCAAGAGATATGGAGTTTCCGGAATCCTATCCTACGGACTCTTAAACACGGCATACTATCTCACAACATTTCTTTTCGTGTGGTATGTCAACATTATTCGCGGAACAATAGCAACATGCTTAAATTCCGCTATTTGACAACACTGTGTTTGTTAGGTTTTACGTTGTTCCAGCACCTGCGAAGATGGGTTATCGTCCGGCTGTAGAACGGTAAGAACATTGTCCTTTTAGTTCTATCACTTATAACTTGTTGATACGATGCTAAAAAAACTTCATGGTGACGTAGATTTCTCAAACTGTTGGCGATGGTTTGGGCCGGTAGTCAAGTCACTAAGCTTCTAAGAGCCGCCGGGTGAGATTCTTAAGCCCGTTTACATTGCGCTTAGTACAATGCCAACCAATTGAAAGAATGGAATTACTTGTTATGCAGGGCATTGGCGCTAGCGCCTTTTGTTGACAGAGGATTGACCTGGTTTACTAATAAGTTTAAGTTTCAATCACAAGGGAAGGTAACTTAAAATAGCTTTTTTCGGGTCGATTTTTTTCATTTTTTCTTCTGAATTGCTTAATATGACAATATCCAGGCTTTCGCGGCAATAGTTGGATTCTGTTTCGGGTTGGCCGTCGTTGTGTTTTTGGTCATCACACTACTTTGGGCCTGAATGCAGTTTTGCTACATACTTGAGAGGACATCCAAATTTCATCATCAATGGAAATGTATAAACTCTTATTATCCCCTCATTTTTACTATCTAAAACATGTTCTTGAGTTGAGTTTGTTTTTTCTATCTAAAACATACTATAAATTTGATTACTTTCAACAAATGAACTCGATGATCAATCTAAAATTCAAGTTAAATCTTTTAGGATTCTTAGTTGGTATGTTTATTGGGTCAAATTGTGATTTTAACTTATAATTAGTGAGAGATCAAAGTGTTAAGTAATAGGAAAGTAAATGTAAATGCAGTAAAAAAAAACATGAAAAAAATAGAATAAAAGGTGTAATTAACAATAAAATTGAGTTACATGCCTCATTATGTTTTTTATGATTTTTTTCCAAAATAATCATATTTTAAGAAAAAATATCAAACTAATCATGTTTCAAATAAAAAAAATTTGCCTCCAAGAGGAGGCGTCACAGGCAGTCACACATGCATTTTTACTTTGAACTAAGGTATCATAAGGTATGACGCATATATTCATGTCATGTCACTGCCTATGGTGCGTGCATTCATCTTCTAGAAGCATGCAACACAGTAGTCACATTCATCTTCTAGAAGCATGCACCATAGTCAGTGACTACTGTGTTGTTTTGAGTTTTTTAGAATTATTTTAATAATAAAATATTATTAAATAAAATGGAAAATAAAATTTTTTTATGATATTATGTTATCAAATAGAATTTCACAACAATTGGATAAAAATTTAATGATCTACTCGATCATATTGCCTTTGAGGTCTCCCACGATTTTCTTAAGGTGTTTGAGATTTTTTATTATTCATTTATTTGCCTAAGACAAGGTGGTTAGTGTGAGGGTTCTGGCATATCTAACAAATTTTCAATCATATCTCCCTAGTAGTCGACGCTGCTGTAATCAAGTTTGGTGTCCATGTTATCGTAGTTGGATTGTGTTGGTTGAGTTACGTGTGGGCGAGCTACTTGGTTGAATTGAGACATTGAGTCATTTTAGAAACGAAGCAATGGTTCTTGTGGTGTTTGAAAGGCATATGTTGGTTGGGCGCTTTCGGAATGTGATGTTTGGGTGCTTTGGAGGTGTGATGTTTGAGTTTACATTGGTTGGGTGCTATGGTGGAATCATATGCATCATCGGGGCTATAGTAAGATGTGGTAGCGGCATATGATTATTGGTGGTATGAGTCATGCTCTTGGTTTTGTGTTTGTTGTGTAGGGGAATGTGAAGTTGTTCTCCTTGACGGAGGGGAGTGGCGACATTCTTAACCAACTCTATGCTTGGAGCAAAAAAGCGCAAAAATAAAACGAGCAAGTACCCTTTTGTGCGTTTTTACACAGTGAACTATATAGATGGGAAAAAATAGTTGAATTCCAACTATATGCTCCTATTTTATTTATGTTTCTTAACAAAGATGTTTTTATTTATGTTTGTTACAATCGAGGTCGTGGTTCAGTGAAACTACAATGAAATTCAGTAAGGAGGAAATTGGCAAAGCTAATACACATGTGGTCACAAAGATTGGTTCAGTGTAGATGAGGTAATGGACCACAATGAAGGGATGGCAAGAGGATACTATCGATTCGAACTAGATAGAGGTTGGTGCTAAAGTTTCAAGCCTTCTGTATGCTTTATTCCCATGTCATAGCGGAATGTTCAAAGGTTCGGCAGGACCCTTCCAACTTACTATTTGTCGTTTATAAAGTCATAAATTTATACAAAGTGTACAATAATAGCTTTCCGGTGGTAGCAAATGAGAAATATTAATATCAAAGGGAGATAGTTTGTTACAATGAAAATATGCGAAAAAAGAAAAATGGTCGCCTTAACAACACGTATATTCGAACCGAAATGGATACAGCGAACAAAAAGATAAAAATATGTAGTTCATGCTCTCAGTCCGGACACAATCGTACAAAGTGTCTCAATGTTTGAGCAAGCTCCGCAACATAATTCAATAATCCACTTTTAATCCTGTTCATTTTAAGTAACCATTTTATTTGATATTGATAACAACGTTCATTTCATAAAGATCACAACATTTAATTACAACAATTTAAACTCCATGTTTCAGAGTTGGATCTTCATTGAATGCTTTATTGACATTTGTTTTGAAGAAAAATTAGAAAAAAAATATGAATCTTAGGATTTTTCACACACACACACTTTAACAGAAATGCAGTGTGTCACTATACCAGAAAATTTGATATAAAATAATTTGTTGAGTTACAACTAGTTTACTAGCAACCTTACATTTTTCACATATCACTATTCTATCCTACAACACAAATACAACAAAATGCATTCAAAATCACATTTTTCGATCCCGTTAAACCAACTTAATTAGTAACTGTGCAGAGACATTCGACTGCAGCGGCAAACTCAGCTGCTGATAGCGGCGTCGGTTTTTTCATGTAAACCTTCAACTAATCTCCTCTTGGCAGACTTGCTTCTATAAGACCAAACCTCAAAAGCCTCACTCAAGTCAGGATATCCAACTTCCCTACTTCCAATCCAGTCCGCCAGAATCTCCGCTTGATCGTTCGAAGGCAACGTCAATACCAACGACACAATCGCTCCCTCAATAGCCTGACACAGATCCTCATCCATTACGGAACGGAAACTAGTCTCTGCAGTGGCTTTCAAATCAAGCAACGGCTTCATTTTCTGAACGTACGGAAACCACGTTTTCAGCAATTGAACCCGACTCGGAGCTGGAACAATCACACTTCCATAACTAACTGCTTCCAAAACCTTGCATGTTAGTTCTATCACCTTTACTTTCAAACCCCACATGATATGAACAAACTTTTCGTCTTCAATGATCGCCAAAATTTTACTCGAAATCGCGATCCAGTTAGAAACAAAAGATTTCATCAAATCCATCTTTGGTAGTACATTACACATCCATTCAAGATCAGATACTCTCCTCATTATCATGTCATCCGCCACAGTTTCAAACTCGAGAGAAGGATTCAACAGCAACATCGACAAGTTTGTTTCGAATAAATGAATGATATTGTAAACACCAATTCTTACTACAGATTTTACTTCATCGTCCGCCACAACGATTGTAATATCTTCGTCTTCTCCTAGCATGTAGTCGACTTGCTCTTGAGCGGAGATTCTTAGCTCGTCGCCAAACGGAAAACACGGTTCCTCAATAGACATAGCGAAGCGAACAGCCGAAACAAATATATCTTTCGTAGCGCTAAAATCAACAGGTTTGCTGCTCGATGTTCTTGACATGACAATTTAACTCGATTTCAATCCTACTTATAAATTTCAAATCTCTCCGAGAAGCTAGCTTTCATTTGAAAGGGAAAGAGGCGCAGAAATAGCAACATTCAAATCGTTGAGCCCGAAGATGACGATGATTTTTGGCTAATAGTCTCATCTCATGGCCAAGTTTGCAAAGGTTTGATACCTGCAAAGAAAATTGAAACGACTCGGTTTCAGTTTCAGAATTTGAAATACTAACACAAATCCAGATACCAGACACGACACCAAGACCGATACATCAACAAAAATAATAAATTAAACGTTTTCACATGTGTCAGTCTCAGAGACCATACACATCTTTGTTCAGAGGTGTCAGAGACTAAGGCGCGATAGTTTGTAGCATGGCGGAAATTGAACAAACCGCAGTTTTCCGAATTCTTAGATTGACAGCACAAGAACAGAAATAAGTTCCAAATCAAATCAGAAAATTTTCCAAACACAAAAATGAACAGATCCAACTCTTACTAAAGAACAATCATAAAACCCTAGTACTGAAAATTCAAAACAATGCTTACATGAAAATGAAAGATCTAGAAAGTATAAACACAAAAATAAATAACAACTCAAATAAAAAACTCTACTTTCATAACTTAAACTTAAAAGGGTGTTTAAATAAGTAGCTGAAAAAGTTGAAATTGACTTAAAAATTCTTCTAAAAATAATTATGAAAAAAAAAAAACTATATATACACAGATAAGTATAATAATTCAAACATAATCTTAGGATGAGGAATTATTACCATGAAATCTGAGGAACAGAGAAACTATGATGCTGTTTGTGTCTGTTCACAAGTTCTGTGTTTCAGGTCAAAGACAGAAGAAAGCCTTGTACTTGTACTACGTCGTTTCGTTTTATCAACAACCTTAAAATTAGTGTTTGTGTTAAAATAATTTTTAAGATTTTATATATGATTTTTCTTGAAACAATATTTATTTGTGATAAATTTGAAGTTTTTTTTTTTAATATATTATAAAAATTATTGTTTGAAAAATTGTTTAAATCAATTTATATCATATATTTATTTGTATTGTCTCAACAAAAAATAGACATTATTTAATGTTATTTATTAAGTTATTTTTTAAGATTTAAGTGGACATTAAAATTAATGTTAATTAGATATAATGGTAAAATAGATATAAATGTAAATATAAGATCTCACACAAATATAAAAGAGAAAAAAACTTAAACAAAAGAAATTTATTAGTGATAAATAAATTTTAAATTAAGTTATACTACAAAACCCTTTTGAATCAATTGAGTATTTTTACATTTTTTTAAAGATGTTAGTAAAGTGTAGCTAATAAATTTTGCTATCAAAAATTGAATATAAATAATTTTTATTAATTTAATTGAAGTTTATTAATCATTTGAGTTTAACCATTAAGTTGTATAAATAAATGGTGAATACTTCCATATTTTTTAAATTTAGTAAGATGCATATATTCTATACTTTCAAAACTTGAGATATTACTATTGGAGTTTTAAATAATTTTTTAGTCCCTTTAAAACTTTGTTTCTAATTCTCAGTTAAAAAAATCATATTGTTTTTATCTTCTTCTAATTGTAATTCTCTTTTATATATATAATTATGAATGGTGGAGCTAGTGGTTTAGTGGTTGAGCTGTTTAAAGAAAGAATAGAATAATTATGAATATAGTTAAAAGTATACTTAAGAGTGTGCAATTTTTAAAAGAATTTGTTGTGAATTTTATTGTGAATTACGATAAAATTCAATATCAATTTGTGAGACAAAAAACCATAACAACCAAAATAAATGGTCTTCAGTAATAATAATTCGTACACGTATAACATACAGAATAAGACAAGAAAAAAACAGAAAGTTTTTTTATCCAGTTCGATCAAACGATCTACTCTGGGAGAGAGAGCAGTTCTCCAATTCATTATACTCAAAAACAGAAAGTTGTTACAAGAGATTACAAATGAGTTACAAGAAAATAGTTTTCGCTTTCAAGTTCCTAAGAACAACTCTAAAGGCGTCCAAGAACAACTCTATTTTCTCTTCACTCGAACGTGTATAGTTGAAACCCTATGTTATACCTTTAAACCCTTGTTCTCCATTGTTGGTGAAAACTTTAAGATTGTCACACACCAAACATATAAGAGATACATGTTTATAATAGCAAATACCCAACAAACAAAGTCTAAAATCACACGGATTCATGTACCGAAGCGAAAAAGCCTGAAAACTCGAAAACACTATTCACCATACGGACAACACTATTCACTGTACGGACGTTACTATTCATCTGTACCGATAGCACTATTCACCAACCAATTTTTTTCCTCTGTTCGTCCGATTTTTGCGGTAAATGCAATCTCCAAAATATAATTTCTTTCTTTTCATCAACAAAGATTTTAAGGCACATTAACAACAAAACTATTATGAGAAGTTGTGTCCACTGCTTCTTATTTCTTGAAGAGATGTTCACCAAAGAGATTGAAAGGCATCACATTTGAACGTCATTGGTTAGGAAACAAGCTTAGTATAAGTCACTTAAAAGTGTTTGGTTAACTAGCATATGTGAGATCAAATGATACTTGTAAGAGGGTTCTGAGGTTTATTAAAGGGACAATTGATAGTGGATTTTTGTTTCTCGCAGCTGATGAAGATAATAGATGCAAGTTGACTTACTACACGGATTCAAACTAGTGCGGTGACTTAGACGATAAAAAAAAGCCACTACATAATACATGTTCTTGATCGGGGAAGCACCAATCTCTTGGTGTTCGAGGACGGAAATAATGGTCCTCATGTGAAGTTGAATACATAACAACATCACTTGGTGCATGTCAAGCAATATGGATAGTGAGTTTAATTGAAGAGCTTAGCATTGATTGATGTGAAACTCTAACACCGAAGATAGATAACATCTTTGCAATAAACTTAAAATACTAATATAAATGTGAAATTACTAAGGTAGTTATCATTTTGAGTTTTTAGTTATGTTAGTTATGACAACTAGAGTAAAGTAATTGATTCAGTTGTAAGTGACTAGTGAGTGTTAAATCTTAAAATAGCAACTAATATAAATGTGTAGCATTGTTCCTTAGATGAATATAAAATGCTTGTGTGTAGCATTTATTCATTTTTGTTAAAAGAAAAGTAACCTTGATACAAGAGGGGGAAAAAAAGAGAAAATGTTGAAAAAAGAAAAGAAATTAGTATCATAAAGAGGGAAGAACAATCTGAAGAAACATGTGATTCTTACTATATCCCTCTGAGATTCGATTACATGTAACTCATGGTACGACATTTTCAAGATGTATGTATTACATTAGTCAAAGGATCTTCCTTCAAAATCAGATTCTAATTCTTGAAAGTTGTCCTGAGGCAACTTGATCAAAACAGCAAGACCTGAAAGAATAATTGAACATATGATCAACATTGCAATTTGGTCGAACCAGAGTTGAATCCGGTTGAACCAATTGAACCATTACTCAGATGTCTCGCCTGATCTATCTCTGGTTCGATTTTTAAAACATTGGTTATAATATGATTCTTATGTTTACCTTCAATGACTTTATAGAGAGTAGACCACCATCTATCTGTAGGAACATGATACTTAACCAATGTATCTTCTATAGTTTCGTCGTGCTTTCCTTCTAGAACTTCCTGAAGTGTAACTACTGCGTCCTTTGTTCTATTAAGGATATCTTTATCGTCTTTAGCGTTTGGACTTTGAAGGTGTTGATGTAAAGAAGAAAGTGTAGAAGATATTGCAAACTGAGTAGCAGCGGCCCAATTCGTAGATGCTAATTGTTTCGTACGGTTTTCCAAATCTTTGTTTTGTTTATTTGAATTGTTCTGTGTTTTTTCAAATACTAAGCTGCATAAATACTCAGCATTTGCAGGTCCTGTACTTTGAACCATTTTGTAAAACGCGGTTTCTTCGTTTTGTAAGAGTTCCTCGGGAGAACTGTATTCAAGAACCTGTGAAACATACAAGAAAATGAATCATCAACATTGACTTTAGATCTAGATCATCATGATAAGTGCAAAATGTAGGAATTTGAGTCTTTGTAGTTCATGCTACTTCGATGTACCTTCCCAGCGTCGAGCAGCAGAATCCGGTTGCAGTCGATGATTGTGTTCAGTCTGTGTGCAATGATGAGCATCGTGCAGGAATGAAATTCTTGTCTGATGGTTTTCTGTATAAGAGCGTCTGTTCGAACATCTACAGCAGCAGTAGCTTCATCAAGGACGAGAACCTTTGATCTTCTTAGCAATGCTCTAGATAAACTTAGTAGTTGCCGTTGTCCAACGCTGAAATTGTCGCCTCCCTCAGAAACCTTTATTAGTGCAAAAGATTACCTTGTCGTATTTCTTCTTTTCGATTGAAAATTTCAGAAACACTAAGAAAAACCAACTAATATGAGAAACCTCAAGAAATAAATTTATACCATAATCTATGTACCTGAGCATCTAAACCAAATGAATTTCGTCTTATCACATCCTTCAAATGTGCCCTTTCCAAAGCTTCCCATAGGTCAGCATCATTGTGTTCGTTAAACGGATCAAGATTGAAACGGACGGTTCCTATGAGAAATAATGACCGTTTTCAGAACAGAAAATGTTTATTCACAATTAAATGAAAGCTTAAAAACTTAAAATACAACAATAATAATAGTAATAGTAATAATATGTATCGTTCCGCAGTGTAATTTAGTCGCATTATGAAACTTTGCTAGCAATGGATGGATCAAAAATAAACTCATTCTTGATTTACTAAATATAGAACAAAATTCATGGTTACAGTTCATACCGGAGAAAAGAACTGGTGACTGTGGTATGATAGTAAGGACTCTTCTCAAATCTGCTAGTCCGAACGTAGAAATATCGTAGCCATCAATAATGATTCTTCCACTTTGTAGCTCCACAATCCGGAATAACGCATTCAGCATGCTAGACTTTCCTGCACCAGTTCTTCCAACTACACCTATCTTCT